ACTTTTGTAAAATTTTTGTTAAATTAATATTTGGGGTAAATTAATCCTAAAATGATAACAATTTATCGTCCTAATATGGACCAAATCCAAACGAGAGCAGCCCAAACCATAATTATCCTGCTACAGCCTTTGTATATTAACTAATATAAAGATTTTAATATATTATTAAGCTAATATTTAAAAATATGAATATCTTATAGAATAGATTTTGTTCTTGTCTAGGGGTAAACTGCTGAGGACATTGCGGTGTACAGATTTGAGACATTGCTAGGCATTGTTTGGGCATTAGTGGGCATTAATGAACATTATTAAGTCTTGCTGGAGCATTAATGCGTATTATAATCAGCATTGTTAAATCATTAGGCACTATTACGTTTTATTTTTAAAGTGGCAATTGTTTTGTGTCAAACATTATATTTACATTATGTTTACAACGTAATAAAGTGTGAGTGTTAAGTAAATTATACAGATTGTCCTCTCACGATGTTTTCCGTGGGGCAATCAGTCGATCGGCGCTGCGATCAGCTAGCGCTCATCATTATCCTACGATTGCACGATCTCACGTCGAAATACATCGGACGTATGTAATATTTCTATAACACGCAGACTAAAAAGGAGAACGGGGTAAAGGTACCAAAAACATAACTAGGAGAGATGATCCAGCAGTGATTATATCCGACAACCATTCCGAAAATCTTCGGAACATCTCGTCCTTCTCTCGTTCTTAATCTCTCTCCCTCCTTATCTTCGTCGTTTGAATTTTAGCAATATACTATAAAAGACAATTTTTTTACATAGATAACAACTGTTATCTATGTATAATTAAATGTTAAATGCTTATAATTTAATAAAACTAATTGCACTATTTAAAAATAACAGGTAATCTTTGACGCCTGAAATGTTTCATCAGACTATGTTTAGTAGTCAAATGTGCGAAAAGCTTTTTCGAACAGCTCGGTCTATGACTTCTACTTATTCTAGTGTTATTAATTTTAGTATTAAGGACTTAATTTATCGTATTGATAAACTTAGACAGATAAATGTTATAACGAATGATCTTTCTGGAATATTTAAATTTCTCAAGGAAGATAAAAGAACGTTAGGAATACAAAATATTCTTACATATGAAGTTATAGAAAAATAACAGAAATTATCGAAGAAGCTTTGAAAAATGCCATTAAAAATACCAAAAAATTAGGTATAAAAATTAAAAGTGATGCAGATTTGAAATTTGTTGATATCCCTTTGCAAATTGTAGACAATTATAAATTCGATGATATAGAACGTGAAATCGATAACGATTACTGTATAAACGCTAGAAGCACAAATGTCGAGAATGTTAAACTCAATTTTATTTGATAATTTTGACAATTTCAAATTAGAGTCTGGAATTAAAAGACTTTTCAAAACAAGTATCACAGAAATCACAATAACGGAAAACTCGCCATTCATAGAAATTAAAGTAAATGACAAAGTTATGATTGTTAAAAAATCTTTTTATTGTTGATTTCTTAATGAATGTAAAGTCAGTACGGATCGATTACGAAGATTTATCACAAATAACAAAACAAATAAAATAACGAAAAACTGTACAAAAATACAACCTGAGAAAAAACAAAAATACTTTTAAGTTTCCAGTTTTTCTGGAGAAGATCAAATATGTAATAAATCAGAAAAAGAATGTTTCCTTCAAAATGATCCTAAAGTCACAAGAGCATATCTGAAGTATTATTAAAAAATATTATGGTGTTTTTTACGATGACAACTACTATATTGGCCGGATTGTTGATTATTGTGATATCAAAATGAAATTTTTAAAAACTGAACTTAATTCTTTTATTTGGCCATGCGATGAAAATATAGCGTTTGTTGAAAAAAAAAAATATTTTCTACCAAATTGAATTAGTCGGAACCGGACCTTTTATGTTAAAACATTCTGATTTAGAGGCTATATATAAAAAGTATAAACTAACAAAATATTATAAACTTTAGATTTATTATTCATTAAGGCTCTTGCGCTTTTCTCTCAAGAAACTTGGATTACGATTCAGAAGTAAAGAAATTCATGCTAAAAATTCCTACAGATTACATCGAAGTAAATAGATATAACTATAAAATCTCACTCTTGTGCAATCGATTAGCATATTTCCAAAATGTTCTGAAAATCGTCAGTTTCCCTTAATAGTCAATAAACAGTCGTGAGTATCTAGTCCTGTATGTATGCAATCATAACTATATGCAATCATAACATATGACTAGATCTCATATCACAGTCATTTTTACTGTTTATTGACTGTCAAGGGAAACTGATAGTTTTCGGAGCATTTTAGAAGTATGCTTAATTAATTGCAAAATTGAATTTATAGTTATATCTATTTATTTTTACATGAATTTATAGTTATATCTATTTATTTTTACAATTTTAACATTTTTGTAATCCGTAGAGATTTTCAGTACGGATTTTCTCGCTTCTGATGCCATCAATCGAAAGTTCTATGGCGAGAGACTTTAAAATAAGAAAATAAATATATGTATTTCCTTTATATATAGTATGTGCAAACTCTAAATATATTTGATTCTATTTCTATTTTTTACAAATTAAAAAATGTATGACATCAATTTAATAATTATTGATAAATATTAAAATAGGTTTACATAAATTTTACATTCTTATCATAAATCCGTACTGATTTGTAATATTCTAGTTCTATATTTTAGTTCACTGTTTTGTAATATTTTATATATGTTATATTATAAACATAAATATATAATAAATGTTTTATATAAAAATACATTACATACAATTCTTTTTTAATTACCTGACAAAATATACAATATAAAACTACAACATAATACAAACTAAACAATGCATAAACTATGTCTTTATATTAAATTTATTACATTTTTTATTATTAACATTTTATATTATATTATTAACAGACATATTGTTTAGGCATTATTTGGACATTACTAGACATTAGTAGGTATTACTAGGCATTTAATGGGCATTAATAGACATTAATAGGCATGACTACAGTAATTAGTAGGCATTACTAGGCATTAGTGGGCATTAGGTAAAAAATTTGGCAGTAATGCCCAGAAATTTGGCATTAGTAAGCATTAGTGTACATGATTTTGGTTAGCGGTTTACCCCTAGGTTTTTGTATCCTACTGTTATTATATTTATCTATCTTTATAGTTATTCAAGTTTGAATTTTACAATTTTGAATTTGTGATACTTAAATAAAAGTTAAGTTCAATTTGCGCCAAAAAGAGAGCACCCTGCACTAAACTTCATGAAAATGGATCCTGGCTAAAATGGCTGAATTTGAAATATATAATATTTATATATTTTGGATTACTGAACAAAAAGTTCTTCAGGCAAAATATCAGAAAATAAGCAATTTCATCGTTTCAAATCTTCAAATATATAAAAACATTAAAAGCCTGAAGTCAGATCAGCAAAGATCATTTTCAGATCAATGCGGTTATCATTATAAAGAAACAATATGAATTTTTAGTCAATAAAATTGTTAAAAAATAATTTGTTTATGATAATATTGTTTAAACAATTTGAACACATTATTGTTTACAAGAATTGATCACTGATTAGAATTCTGTAGGAAAATGTACGGAAATGTATATAGCGTTTTCCAATATAACGCATTATTTGTTGCAAAATTATAAACAAATAGTTGATAGTGAAACCTATTCCAGTAGCCTAACCATTATGTTATGAAATTGAAATAAGTATTGTTATACATTTGCAATTAGCCTATAACATTATAGTTACCAGAGCTTACTACATGGATTGTAGTGCAATTTTAGATTCCTTTGGGGTGCTTTTTGTACATGAGTCTCCTTGCCTCTCAAATAATGCTATAGAACTAGGTAAATATATGAGTGAGATCTATAAGTTATAAGAGACAAGAGGACTCATGAGAAGCATCCCAAAGGAGTCTAAAATTGCATTACAATTTTGTATATATGATAGATTCCAGTAATTATAACGTTATAGACTAATTGTAGATGTATAACAGGTGTACTTGTTTTTATTTCATAGTATAACGTTCAAACTACTGGAGTAGGTTTCACTATCAGCCACTTATTTATTGTTAATTTTGCAACAAATAATGCGTTATATAGAAAAATGCTATATACATTTCTGTAAATTTGCCCACAGAATTTTAATCAGCAATCAATTTTTGTAACCAATTTTTGTAACCAATTTTTGTAAACAATGACGTGTTCAAATCGTTTAAACAATACTATCATAAACACATTATTTTTAATTATTTTGTTGACTAAAAATTTATATTGTTCCCTTATAATGATAACTGCATTGATCTAAAAATGATATTTTTGCTGACTTCAGGCTTTTAAAAGTTAATTAGTTTTACATATTTGAAAATTTGAAACAATAAAATTGCCTATTTTCTGACATGTTACCTGAGGAATTTTTTGTTCAGTAACCCAAAATGTACAATATATTTCAAATTCAGCCATTTTAAGTGAAGCATTTTAATTTTTGTGCAAGGTCCTTTATCCACAGTTTTCAATTACTATTATATAAAAATCTTAATAGAAAATAGAATTTCTTTTTAAACATAAACTATACTTACATGGAGCCTAAAATCAATTTAGCAAAATTTATACGCTCAGGTACCATAATCTATATTTATATGAAGAACATAAAAATAAATTTGAAAATTTTTGATATTGTTACAACCAGTGTTACATATAGTATAGTATATCATATATAACATAATTGGTTATACAACATATACATATAACACTAGTACATATAGTTACATCAGGAACTGTCAAATCGATCTTATGTTAATCATACAACTACAGATTATAGGTATTATTAAAACAATCTTATATTGCTATATAAACGTAGTCATTCTTAACTTTTATTACAATTCATGAAATACAGAAAATATTTAATTTACAAAGAAATTGGCAAGTTTTGTCTACGAAAAAAGAATTGTTCTTACAAAAGAGTGCAGAATAATCTCGTAAGTCTGTTGCCAATGCTTGCAGAAGCTGTCATAACATGCGGACGGATCGGCGTCTTTCGGAGGCGAATCTCTAGATCGCTGTTTGCTGAAGCTCGTCCGCAGCGGACTGCTTCGTAGCCAACTCATTTTCTTGCACTACGTGTCCTTTATAATGATGCAGTCACTATCAAAAACTGTTGTTACGCTCTAAGTCTCGTTGCTTTACATTGTTTGTTGAGCAAAAGTTCTTTTCATATATCTGTACACATCGATACGATATAATTTATTGCCAACATCATCCAATTCAACGTGCTAATAATCAGTATAAGCGATAAAAACGATAAAATGATATGAATTATATGTCCGTTAAACAATTCACTGATCTTACGTGTAGAGTAACTAGTACAATGTGCATGAAAGATATTTTATCATTCATATGACAACCAATTTCTGTTTATAGCTGCGTCATGTTTATACGTCACTATTTTCCACATCTCTTAGTAGCTTTTTAAGTTGTTAATACATTTTTACACATAAATTATCAAACGAGCTTCAGCGCAACCTCGCCATAAGGCTTTTTTCGGACTATTCTTTTAAAGCGCTCTCTATAAAAGTAGATTCAAAACACATGCAATTTTCAGTGCTGCCGATTAAAGGTTTGTTCGCATTGATTGCACTTCTGACACTTTTGCACTTAATGTCCGTTTGCACATAGGTTGCGTTCTTTTATTAGGCCTGTTCTTTGTAGTTGCACTGCTGAACTGGTGCAATATATTGAAGTGAAACAAATATACGTTTTCTCACTCTAACTTATTGCACTAGTTCAGTAGTGCAGCTACAAAGAACAGGCCTATTTACAACAGATGTAGCTAAATGCATCTCGTAGATGCATCAAGATTGCACTTTTCAAGGTTACTAGCTAGTGATGTACTGTCCCTAGAAAATAAATTTTCCTATTGGCTATTGGATCGTCATATGTTCGACGTCAGTAATGTATCAGTATTGCTTTTATAAAAATTGTGAGAGAGAAAAAAAGAAAGAGAGGCAGTCTAATAATATTATCAAATAATATAAAAAATGTCATTAATTGAAATCGATTTAGTACATGGAACATAGTTATTAGAGGATAAAGAGTCCTCAAAGTTAATTTTAGATGCTGTTCCCTTATAGAAATATCATACTAAGAATCATTGATAATTACTTATTTTCAGTATTAAAAATACTGGATAATAAGTAATTATCAATGATTCTTAGTATGATATTTCTATAAGGATTATTACAAATAAACCTCCAATAGCTCCCATATTTGCAGTATCCATCTACAACTCATAAATAAATTAATTTTTCCATATTTTTTAATACAATTATCCCAGCAAACACAAAATATAACTGTTATACAGGATGTCCGGAAAATCGCCCAAAATATTTCAGCACATGATTCGGTACCCCAAAAGAAGGAAAAAAAGCTATATAAACATAGGTCCGCAAAATAAGTCATTTCCGAGTTATAGCTTTTATGTTAAAAAAAATCGTAATTTACAGTCCACGTAGCACCCCTTTTTAAATTTTTTTTTAATTTTTATTTTTTTAATTTTCATTTCTTATGTAACGATCCGAAAAATCGTCACGACGTTAAAAACAGTATTTATAATATTAACAAAGAAACGTCGAACAACCACGCGTGGGATAACCGCAAGGTCAACAAACAGCCTCACTGTTTGCTATAATTTAGTATAAAAGGCCGTTACAAAACGATATCGACAGAGATTGATCGGAAAGCTCCTCTCAGGCGCACGACCGACCAGAACTCGAAATTCCTAGAGATCCTAGACATTCCGTCGACCGAAGTGGATACGCGACGTCGACATCCTTTCCCCGATACCGTTATGCCGACCGAAGTGGATACGCGACGTCGGCTTCCTATCCATACACCGCTCCGTCGACCGAAGTGGATACGCGACGTCGACATCCTTTCCTCCTCACGCCACGCCGCTAACACCTACGATCGCGAACGCATACAGGGCGTAAGATACCGGTGACGACGAGCGCCTTTAAACCAGCCAGGTTAAAACCAGGGTAAATAAACAGCTTAAAGCCGACGAGGCAACGAACTCCAAACGACGAACAATAGCATATCAGGAAACATTTCCGACCGCGTCCCGCCAGACGCTCGCGCGCTTCGATGCTCGCAGCTGATCGCAAGACGACAACATCGGCTCCCGACGAGAGCAAAAACGCGACCACGCGCCAACGGCGTAACGTCGCATGTAAATAATTGTACATAGCTTTGAAATTAGAATATAGTTCAACATTATTATAACCTACACCACTGCTTTTCACAAACAAAACTCGGACCACATCGACTAAGACTATCCCGCACGTAACGCAAGGCCGTTACACTTATTTTTTTATTTTTTAAATTTTATTATTTTTTTTAATTAACAAATTTTATTTTTTAATTTTTTTTCAATTTTTCAATATTTGTAAATTTTGAACACCTTATTTAATTCGATTTAAATACCTATTTCGATTTAAATACCTATTTATGTTTATGATTCATTTAAAAAATAATGTATTTACAAATATCACATGGCGATACGTATTGGAAAGACCTAATAGTTTAGTAGAAGTAATAAAAAGAATTAGACTTTCTTAAAAACCGCAAATAACTTTATAACAAAATTAATTATAGAAAATTATGTTAAAATTGTTATGAATTATGAGGGAAAATTAATCAGTCAAAAATGTCAATATATCAGACATAAACCCAGCGAAAACGTAGATGTCGTTTCGACGTCTAACCGACGTCGAAGAAGTCTAACCCATACAGCACAGAAAGTTGAAAAAACCTTGATGAGACGTTGCAATGTTGAAAGTAGAAGTGAGGATGTTTTTTCTAGATGGAATGTATGTTGATTATTCAACATTGATTACAAGATATTGCTGCAATGTTGAATATATATTACGCGAAACACCTTTCATTTATGTATACAGGGTGTCTTCAAAATATGGGAACCCCTGAATATCTTTTTACAGTGAGGTTTTTCGATAAAACTTTCAAAACAAAAGTTGTTGGGTTTTAAAAGATATATTTACTGCTCTTATCAGTTTGAGCTTGGATGGTGTCTCAAAGGTCAGGACAAGGTCAACTTTGGTTTTTTTAATAGAAACATTTATTTTTCATTACGGAATTTTATTCTACGTAAAGAAATAAACAATTTTTGTTTGAAACATTTTTTTATACGACTTCCATTTTCTAAGATATTTTTTCGGAAATATGTACAAAATTATTGGTTTCTAAAATTTTTTACTCGAATTCTAAAAACTATTTGAAAAATTGAAAGAGATACAAATTGTTTATTTTCTTCTCATACAGCTGTAAGAATTTTTTTACAATTTTGTATTAACTTTTTAGTATTGCGTTTTCTTGCATTTTCTTGAAGTATAAAAAAGTTAATACAACATTTGGAAAAAATTCTTACAGCTGTATGGGAACAAAATAAACAATTTCTATCTCTTCCAATTTTTCAAGACAGTTTTTACAAATCGAGTAAAAAATTATTGAAACCAATATATTGGTTCCTGTCACGCATCTGGGAACGTTGTAGCCAATAAGAGCCAACGTCGAGTGATGTTGGCAGCGTTGGTGTAGCGATCGAGCTCAATCCAGAGAAAAGACAAAGGTGCATCAGTACTATAAGAATCGCTGGCGATTACAACCCAAAGCTTTGCAATAGTTTAGATACAGAAAACGCTAAAAGGTTTGCAACGGTAAATTAAAAAGGTATGTAAAACCCACATTAAAATATTGGTTAATTTGTGTTGAATTCGCCGTAGAAAGTTGAAAGTTTTTATAACCTCACTTTATAATACGTTGTGAATATATTACTAAATACAGATGTAAATATGCATGAAATGGTACGTTGTGTAGTATTAACGTTTTTTACAAACTTATCTTTATTATTATTAATTTTATGTTGTGGTAAAAAAGATCTGTTGAATGAACGTAAAAGTGTTCGCGCGCAGTGTAAACGTAAAAACAATGGTACAATATATGCAGAGACAGTGTGCATTTTAACATTGCTTTTATTTGGTAAAAATCAATTTAAAAAATTTCGAAAAATGCAATGTAATGTAATTTTACATTTTCAATATTTATACAAATTTGGAATGTCCTCTTAGTAATTGATATGTAGCAAAGAAAACTCAATAAAAGCGGTGTATTGTTTAGAATAATATGA